GCCTCAGTGGAGACGTGGTCGATCCTCTTCCCGCCCCGCAGTCCACAGAGGTGGAAGCGGTACCGGCGGGACGGGGACAGCCCCAGCACCGTCACCGAGCGGGACCCGCCATCGATGGACAGGGCCTGGGGCTGGCCCTGGGCATCCCGGTACTGCAGCTTGAAGGAGTCAAAGGGACCCTTGGGGACGCTCCACTGCAGCCCCACAGAGCTGGGGGTGACGCTGGAGACCCTCAGCTCCCCCAGCACTGCCCGTGCTGGGGGAGCCTCAGATGGGGGAGGTTTAGTTTGAGGGTGGTCAGGCTGGGGTTCCTCTGAGGGTGGGAGTGACTCCTCTTGCTCTGCTGTGTCTGTGACAGAGGAGATGGTGATGGCCGTGGCCATCCATTTGTCCATCAATGTGTCCATCCATTATTTACCTAACTATCCATCATTCATCATCCCTCCATCCATGTCTCTCTCCATCCATAAACAACCATGCATCCACCCATCTATCCATCCATCCATCCATCCATCCCTCCTATCTATCACTCAACCCAACTCCCCACCTAATCTCACATCCATATCTCTGGCTCTTTGTCCTCACATCAACCCAGGCCTCCACCCCTGACATCCCTATTTCCCGTGAGCAATCTTGTACCATAAGAACATGCATACAGCCACCAGGAACACTCCATCCATCCTAGCTTCTCCACATCCATCCAACAATTCATCCACCCATCCAGCTTCTTCCATCCATCTGGGCAGGAACCCACCCACCATCCTGTCTGGAATCCATTCAGCCATTCAGTTCTTGATCCATCATGGATACATGATGATGGATTCAAGATGGGTAATGGATGAAGATGGATGATGATGAGGATGTATGGTGAATGATGATGATGGGGGTTGATGAAGATGATAGTAGATGATGGTAGATGTTCGTCAATGGGTTGGTGGAAGGGTCGATGTTTGATCGGATGATGCTGCGGTCAGTGGATGCTCAATGGTGGGTGGAGATGTCATCGGGATGGGATCCCATGATCCCCTCATGTCTTGATCAATCCAGCCCTTCATCCCTCTCACTTTCCCCCTCACCTGTGGTGATGTCAATGGAGACGCGATCGATCCTCTTCCCACCCCGCAGGCCATAGAGGTGGAAGCGGTACCGGTGGGACGGGGACAGTCCTGGCACCGTCACTGAGTGGGACCCTCCATCAATGGGCAGGGCCTGGGGCTGGCCCTGGGCATCCCGGTACTGCAGCATGAAGGAGTCAAAGGGGCCCTCGGGGACGCTCCACTGCAACCCCACGGAGCTGGGGGTGATGCTGGAGACCCTCAGCTCCCCCAGCACCGCCCGCGCTGGGGGGGTCTCAGATGGAGGAGGTTCAGTTTGGGGGTGCTCAGGTTGGAGCTCCTCTGGGGGCGGGAGCAGCTCCTCTTGCTCAGCTGTGGCTGTGACAGAGGGGGTGGTGATGATGGTTGCCATCTGCTTGTCCATCCACCTGTCCATCCCACCATCCATCCATCCATCCAATCATGTTTCTTTCCATGCACTCTTTTCTTTCAACTGGTTTTTTAACCTCTCCCTCCAAAGGATTATCAAACCACCCCCAAGTTGCTCCAACACACATCATCAATCCATCATCCATCCAGCATCCATTATTTTCCTTCTTTCAATCCTTGAATCCATTCCACCATCACTCTTCACTCCCTGCCTCAACCCATACACCCACACTGACCCCCTCCTTCATTCAGGGCACAAGCCGACCATGGGCTCAGTCTCACATATGCCCGTCCAACCATGTGTCCATCTGTCATCCATCCACCCATCCAAAACACCCAGGAGACCCCCATCTGTCCATTCATCCATCACCCATCACCATCCATACCTCATCCATCATCCATCCCTCCATCAGTCCATCCATCCATCCCATCACCCATCCAATACCCAAGCCAACTCCCAACCCAGTCCCACAGCCATCTCTCCGGCTCTTTCTCCACAAATCCCTGCAGGTCTCCACCCCTACCATCCCCCATTTTCCATAGAAAATTTTCCATCCAAGAGGACATGCGTCAGGCCACAAGGAACCCTCCATCCATCCCAGCTGCCCCACATCCATCCAAACCACTTATCCATCCATCCACGTTCTTCCATCCATCTGGGCAGGAACACACCCACCATCCAGTCTGGAATCCATTCAGCTGCTCCATTCTTGATTCATCATCGATGGATGATGATGATGATGATGATGATGATGATGATGATGATGATGATGACGATGACGGAAGGTGATGATGATGGATGGATGATGATGATGGAAGGTGGATAATGATGATGATGGATGACAGATGATGAAGATGATGGTGGATGATGGCGGGTGTTGGTCAATAGGTCGAAGAAAGGGTCGATGATTGATTGGATGGTGCAGGGGTTGGTGGGGGCTCAATGTCACGTTGGGATGGGATGAGGTGGGATCCTTTGATCCCTCCATCACGTGGTACATCCATCCATTCCTCTCACTTTCCCCCTCACCTGTGGTGATGTCAATGGAGACGCGATCGATCCTCTTCCCACCCCGCAGCCCGTAGAGGTGGAAGCGGTACCGGCGGGATGGGGACAGCCCCGGCACCGTCACCGAGTGGGACCCACCATCGATGGGCAGGGCCTGAGGCTGGCCCTGGGCATCCCGGTACTGCAGCATGAAGGAGTCAAAGGGGCCCTCGGGGACGCTCCACTGCAGACCCACGGAGCTGGGGGTGATGCTGGAGACCCTCAGCAACCCCAGCACTGGCCTCACCAGGGGGGCCTCAGATGGGGAAGGTTCAGTTTGGGGGTGCTCAGGCTGAGGCTCCTCTGAGGGTGGGAGTGACTCCTCTGGCTCAGTTGCAGCTGCAACAGAGGAGATGATGATGGTTTTGGCCATCCATGTGGCCATCCATCATTTAACGAACTATCATTCATCATCCCTCCATCCATGTCTCTCTCCATTCATAAACAACCATCCATCCATCCATCTATCCATCCATCCATCCATCTATCCTATCTACCACTCAACCCAACTCCCCACCTAATCTCACATCCATATCTCTGGCTCTTTGTCCTCACATCAACCCAGGCCTCCACCCCTGACATCCCTATTTCCCGTGAGCAATCTTGTACCATAAGAACATGCATACAGCCACCAGGAACACTCCATCCATCCTAGCTTCTCCACATCCATCCAACAATTCATCCACCCATCCAGCTTCTTCCATCCATCTGGGCAGGAACCCACCCACCATCCTGTCTGGAATCCATTCAGCCATTCAGTTCTTGATCCATCATGGATACATGATGATGGATTCAAGATGGGTAATGGCTGAAGATGGATGATGATGAGGATGTATGGTGAATGATGATGATGGGGGTTGATGAAGATGATAGTAGATGATGGTAGGTGTTCGTCAATGGGTTGGTGGAAGGGTCGATGTTTGATCGGATGATGCTGCGGTCAGTGGATGCTCAATGGTGGGTGGAGATGTCATCGGGATGGGATCCCATGATCCTCTCATGTCTTGATCAATCCAGCCCTCCATTCCTCTCACTTTCCCCCTCACCTGTGGTGATGTCAATGGAGACGTGATCGATCCTCTTCCCGCCCTGCAGCCCGTAGAGGTGGAAGCGGTACCGGTGGGATGGAGACAGCCCTGGCACCATCACCGAGTGGGACCCGCCATCAATGGGCAGGGCCTGAGGCTGGCCCTGGGCATCCCGGTACTGCAGCGTGAAGGAGTCGAAAGGGCCCTCGGGGACGCTCCACTGCAGCCCCACGGAGCTGGGGGTGACGCTGGAGACCCTCAGCTCCCCCAGCACTGCCCGTGCTGGGGGGGCCTCAGATGGGGGAGGCACAGTTTGGGTGTGCTCAGGTTGGGGCTCCTCTGGGGGTGGTGGTGGCTTCTCTTGCTCAGCTGTGGCTGTGACAGATGGGATAGGGATGGGTGTGGCCATCCAGGTGTCCATCCATCACTCACCCAATTATCCATCATTTATCACCCATCCATCCATCTGCCAATCCATCCATAAACAGCCATTTGACCATTCATCCATCCATCTATCCATCCCATCTACCACCCAAAGCCTCCACTCAGTCCCACATCTGTCTCTCCAGATCTTTCTCCCCACATCTCTCCAGGCTTCCAACACTCCCATCGCCTATATCCTGTGGACAATCTTCCACACACCACGACATGCATGGGGCCACCAGGAACTCTCCAGCCATCCTGGCTTCCCCATAGCCATCCAAAACTCATCCATCCATTGAATTTCTTCCCTCCATCTGGGCAGGAACCCACCCACCATCCTGTCCAGAAACCATTTAATTCTTCCTCCATCAGGGATTGGCAGTGATAATGGAAGATGATGATGGTGATGGATTGTGATGACAATGGATGGATGATGGAAGGTGATTGAGGAATGATGATGATGACAGGTGTTGGGTAATAATGATGGAGGGTAGATAATGATAATGATGGAGGGTAGATAATGACAATGATGGTGGATGACAGATTATGAAGATGATGGTGGATAATGGCAGGTGGGGATGTCATCATGATAGGATCCCTTGATCCTTCCATCCTTTGATTCCTCCATCCTCTCATTTTCCCCCTCACCTGTGATGACATCAACGGAGACGTGGTCGATCTTCTTCCCACCCTGCAGCCCATAGAGGTGGAAGCGGTATCGGTGGGATGGGGACAACCCCGGCACTGTCACCAAGTTGGACCCGCCATCAACTGGCAGGGCCTGGGGCTGGCCCTGGGCATCCTGGTACTGCAGCATGAAGGAGTCAAAGGGGCCCTTGGGGACGCTCCACTGCAGCCCCACGGAGCTGGGGGTGACGCTGGAGACTCTCAGCTCCCCCAGTACTGTCTGTTTCGGGGGGACCTCATATGGGGGAGGCTCAGTTTGGGGGTGCTCAGGTTGGGGCTCCTCTGAGGGCAGGGGCGTCTCCTCTTGCTCAACTGTGGCTGTGATGGAGAGGGGATGATCCTGGTCATGACCATCTGTGTCTCATCCACGTCCATCCCTCATTTACCAAACTATCAATCATTTGTTATCCATCCATGTTTCCATCAGCAATTTCCAAGCTATCAATCATTAAACATCCACTCATTCATCCACGTCTCCATCCATCCCTAAGCATCAATTCATCCATCCATCCAATCAACCACCCAACACCAAACCCCACCCAATCCCACATTCATCACTCTGGTTCTTTCTCTCCACATGGCCCCAGGCCTCCCCCCTTACCATTCCCCACTTCCAATGGACAATCTTCTATTCACCAGGACATGCATCTGGCCACTAGGAACCCTCTAGCTGTCCCAGCTTCCCCACATCCATCCAACCATTCATCCACCCATTGGATTTCTTCCATCCATCTGGGCAGGAACCCACCCACCATCCAGTCCAGAATCCATCCAGAGTTCATCATCCATCATGATGGACGATGATGATAGTGGATGGACAAGGATGATGAAGATGGATGATGATGATGATGAAGATGATGGTGGATAAGAGCAGGTGTTGGACAATAGGTCAGTGGAAGGGTTGATGGTTAATCGGATCATGCTGAGTCAGTGGATGCTCAATGGTGGGTGGGGACGTCATTGGGATAGGATCCCATGATCCCCTCATGTCTTGATCAATCCAGCCCTCCATCCCGCTGACCTTCCTCCTCACCTGTGGTGACATCAGTGGAGACGTGATCAATCCTCTTCCCACCCCGCAGGCCATAGAGGTGGAAGTGGTACCGGCGGGATGGGGACAGCCCCGGCACCGTCACCGAGCGGGACCCGCTATCGATGGGCAGGGCCTGGGGCTGGCCCCGGGCATCCCGGTACTGCAGCATGAAGGAGTCAAAGGGGCCCTTGGGGACGCTCCACTGCAGGCCCACGGAGCTGGGGGTGATGCTGGAGACCCTCAGCTCCCCCAGCACTGCCCGCGCCATGGGGGCCTCAGATGGGGGAGGCTCAGTTTGGGGGTGCTCAGGTTGGGGCTCCTCTGAGGGCAGTAGTGGCTCCTCTGGTTCAGCCGTGCCTGTAATGGAGAGTGGGTGGTGATGGGTGTGGCCATCCATCTCTCCATCCATATGTCCTTTCATCATCCACTGAACTATCCATCATTCATCATCCATCCATCCATCTAGATGTCCATCCACCCATCCATCCATCCATCCATGTGCCAATCCATCCATAAATATCCATTCATCCATCTATCCCATCCATCATTCAACACCCAACCCAGCTTTCCACCCAATGCAACCTCCATTGTTCTGGCTCTTTCCCCCCACATCCCTCCAGACCTCCACCTCAACACCAGACCTGCATCCCATTACCTATTGAAAATTTTCCATGCATAAGGACACGCATTGGGCCACCAGGAACCCTCCAGTCATCCTGGCTTCCCCACATCCATCCAACTATTCATCTGCTCATCCACATTGTTCCATCCATCTGGGCAGGAACCCATCCACCATCCAGTCAGGAATCAGTTTAGACATTCAATTCTTCATCCATTATGATGGATGATGATGATAGTGGATGGACAATGATGATGACGATGGATAAAAGATGGATGATTGATGAAGATGATGGTGGAAAACAACAGGTGTTGGTCAATAGGTAAGTGGAAGGGTTGGGGGTTGATCAGATGGTGCTGGGGTCAGTGGGTTCTCAGTGGTATGTGGGGATGGGATGGGGATTGGATCCCATCAACCTTCCATTCCTTGATCAATCCATCCCTCTGATCTTCCTCCTCACCTGTGGCAACATCAATGGAGACACGATCGATCCTCTTCCCGCTCCGCAGCCCGTAGAGGTGGAAGCGGTACCGGCGGGACGGGGACAGCCCCGACACCGTCACCGAGTGGGACCTTCCATTGATGGGCAGGGCCTGGGGCTGGCCCTGGGCATCCCGGTACTGCAGCATGAAGGAGTCAAAGGGGCCCTCGGGGACGCTCCACTGCAGCCCCACAGAGCTGGGGGTGATGCTGGAGACCCTCAGCTCCCCCAGCACTGCCCGTGCTGGGGGGGCCTCAGATGGAGGAGGCACAGTTTGGGTGTGCTCAGGTTGGGGCTCCTCTGGGGGTGGTGGTGGCTTCTCTTGCTCAGCTGTGGCTGTGACAGATGGGATAGGGATGGGTGTGGCCATCCAGGTGTCCGTCCATCACTCACCCAATTATCCATCATTTATCACCCATCCATCCATCTGCCAATCCATCCATAAACAGCCATTTGACCATTCATCCATCCATCCATCCATCCCATCTACTACCCAACACCCATCCCAAGCCTCCACCCAGTCCCACATCTGTCTCTCCAGATCTTTCTCCCCACATCTCTCCAGGCTTCCAACACTCCCAATCGCCTATATCCCATGGACGATCTTCCACACACCATGACATGCATGGGGCCGCCAGGAACTCTCCAGCCATCCTGGCTTCCCAAATCCATCCAAACACTCATCCACCCTTCCACCATCCATCTGGGCAGGAACCCACCCACCATCCAGTCCGGAATCCATTCAGCCATTCAATTCTTCATCCATAATGGATGTGCAGTGATAAAGGAAGATGATGATGATGGTGATGGATTGTGATGACAATGGATGGATGATGGAAGGTGATTGAGGAATAATGATAATGATGGATGCTGGATGATGATGATAATGATGGAGGGTAGATAATGACAATGATGGTGGATGACAGATGATGATGATGGTGGATAATGGCAGGTGGGGATGTCATCATGATAGGATCCCTTGATCCTTCCATGGCTTGATCAATCCATCCCTCTCATTTTCCCCCTCACCTGTGCTGACATCAATGTAGACGCGGTCGATCCTCTTCCCGCCCCGCAGCCCGTAGAGGTGGAAGCGGTACCGGCGGGATGGGGACAGCCCCGGCACCGTCACCGAGCGGGACCCTCCATCGACGGGCAGGACCTGGGGCTGGCCCTGGGCATCCCGGTACTGCAGCTTGAAGGAGTCAAAGGGGCCCTCGGGGACGCTCCACTGCAGCCCCACAGAGCTGGGGGTGACGCTGGAGACCTTCAGCTCCCCCAGCACTGCCCGTGCTGGGGGAGCCTCAGTTTGGGAGTTCTCAGGTTGGTGGTCCTCAGCTGGGGGTGCCTCAGTTGAGGGGGCCTCAGTTGGGGGGTCCACCAAGGGTGGGGGCAGATCATCTGGGTCAGCTGTGGCAGCAACAGAGAGGGGAAGGTGATGAACATCTGCAGCCACATGTCCATCCACATGCCCATCCAACATCCACTCACCTATCTTTTATCCATCATCCACTGTCTGCCCCCACCCTGTCCCCACCATCCCATCCCCACCCACCATCGAGCATCCACTGACCCCAGCACCATCTAATCAACCTTCGACCCTTCCACCAACCTACTGACCAATGCCCATCGCATCCACCATCACCACCATCATCATCCATTCACCATACATCATCATCTTCAGCATCATCCACCATCAGCATCCATCATCCAGCCATCCCACCAACCACCAATCCCTCCATCTCTCTACCCTCCCAAGGTCCCAGCCATCTCCCCATCCTCAACCTGTCACCAGTTTCCCAGCCCAGTTCCACTCATCGCTCCTTCTCCCCAACCACATCATCATCCACCATCAAGTGCCCACCAATCCCAGGAAGCATCTGTTCAATGATTGATACTTCCCACCTTCCTATTGACCAACAATCACAATCATCCATCATCTATCATCCATCCATCCTTCCCAACATAACTCCATCTCCTGGACCATCTTCTGGCTACCTCCATCCATCCATGCATCCATCCAGCCAGGCTTCTTCCACCCTGTGGTGGGGGAAAAAAAAGAAGTTTTTCCCTTGGAGTTAAAAAATGGTAACCCCCCAGGGCGTGGTGACCCTTGGGGTTGAGCCAATGAGCGCTCCTGCGAAATATAAACATATCAACAACCAGACTGGAAAAGTAGGGTAGTAGTTGTTGTTGGAGGAGAGTGGTCATGTTCTAAGCCACAAGGAAGGGGTCGGGAGCCCTGCTGGGGGCTAGGCTCCCCCCAGCCCCCAGCTGAGGGGCTGCAGGAACCTGGAACGGTGTTAGACTGGGCCAGGCATCTGTAGCTAAGAGCTGGGGGGAGTTTCTCCACTGTGAGCAGCAGCAGAAGCAGCAGCAGAAACAGCACTGACCAGAGAACAGTGGTAGAGAGCCAGAAGAGATAAGAACTGAAGAAGCAGCTAAACAAGCATGCAGCAGCAGAGAGAGAACTAAACTCTATAGAGAGAGTAGGGGTAAGAACTGAAACCAAAACCCCCCAAAACCCTTTCGTGACCTCTCCTAAGTGGAGGGGGTGGACTCTCACTTGAGGGAAGTCCTAAAGTGCAGCATGCACTGAAGAGAGGAGCTAAGAAGCTCAAGGCGTCCCAGAGCTGGACTGGGATGGCCAGATGGAATGCAGAGGGGGGTGACCTTGGCCCCCCTGCTGTTGCTGCTAAGCTAGCAGCCTGAGACAGAGCATGGGAGCTCTGAGAGAACTCTTGAGGCAAAGGTTTTCAACTGAAAGCTGCCCGAGACATTCTGACTTGAGGGAACTTGACCCCTCGAGGAAGGGACCTTCATGGGATGTCTTACACCCCATGATATGATGTGGTGAGGCGAGCCTTCTCCCTGCTATGCAGTCCATGGAAGAGAAAGACCCTCGCTTGGAGTCAAAGGGTCGAGAGGGGCTTAGAGACCCCCCTCGTGTGTATCTGGAAAGAGATCCAGCTACAGTTGCTGCATGGAAGAAGGGAGACTGCTGCTCTGAGAGTGGAAAGGATCCTTCCTTTTTCCTTCTGGACTTTTTTTGGAGGGAGAAGAGATTGATCCATTGTAAATACTGATTTATCATAGGAGAAATAGTTAAAGATTATGTATATGAGGTATTGTAATATTTATTTGTAGAGTGCATTGTAATATAATTCCCTTTCCCCCCATATTTATTCTTGTGTAGTGTCTGGAAAACCCATCTCACACTGGGTTGAGATGTGGGAGGGGGTTTGAACTCGAGAATTGGATTTTAGGGGGTCTCAAACCACCACACACCCACCCACTGGTGAGTTCATTCAGTCACCATCCATCCACTCAACTCTCCATCCATCCTATCATTGTCCAGTTCTCCTGGCATCCAATGATCCTTGTGATAATCTGCCCATCCTTCTACTCACGAATCCATCCAACTCTCCACTCATCCATCCATCATCCATCTCTGTGTCTATCTCTCCGTCCCTCCCTCTGTCTCTAAATTTATTTCTCCAATCCTTCCTCCCTCTGATCTTCCCCGTCACCTGTGGTGACATCAATGGAGACGTGGTCAATCCTCTTCCTGCCCCGCAGCCCGTAGAGGTGGAAGCGGTACCGGCGGGATGGGGACAGCCCCGGTACCGTCACCGAGTGGGACCCTCCATCGATGGACAGGGCCTGGGGCTGGCCCTGGGCATCCCGGTACTGCAGCGTGAAGGAGTCGAAGGGGCCCTCGAGGATGCTCCACTGCAGCCCCACAGAGCTGGGGGTTACACTGGTGACAGTGAGGTCACCCAGGACTGGCTTGGATGGGGGCAGCTCTTCTGCCTCGGCTGCAAATGCAATGGAGTGGGGACAGTGTGGGCATGGACATCTGTGTGTCCATCCACATATCCATCCATCATCCATCAATCATCCATCTCTCCAGCCCTCCCATCACCTTTCCCCCCCTTATCCTTCCCTCTCTCCATCCATCCCCTCTTCCTTTCATGTCTCCATCCATCATCCAACTCTCCATCCTTCTATCCATTCATCCTTCAGCCAACATCCACCCATGCCTCCATCCCATCTCCCACCCTCCATCGGTACCTGTTTTCTCCACGTCCCTCCATGGCTGCATCAGCTCTATCCCATCCATGTCCCCCCACTGCAGCACCAGCTCCTGATTCCCACCCTCCCCTGCCCCCAGAACAGGCGTTACATGACTTCTCTTCTGCCCCATCTCCTTCATCTCCCTCCCCAGGATGTTCCTCCCCCATCCCCCTCATTCTCTTTTCAGATGTCCCTTCCTCCCTGATCCCCCCATCCCCCCTGTGCCACTCCCCTGTGATGTCCCCTTCCCCCGTCCCCTTCATCCCTCAACCGCCCTCCTCCCTGGAACTTCCCTTTCCCCATTCCCCTCCTTTCCCCCCTTCCCCTCCCCTGGACATCTCTCCTGCCATCCCCTGACCGCTCACTGGGATGTCCCTTTCTCCCCATCCCCCCTGTTCTGCCCCTGTCCCATCCCTGTCCCCCCCACCCCTGAGATGTCCCTTCCCCCCATCCCCTTCCCCAGGACATCCCATCCCCTTCCCCAGGGCATTCCTTCCCAATGTCCCCCCGTCCTGTTCCCAGCATGTCACCCACCTGTGGTCCCCAGGAGTGTTCCGTCCCCTCGGGGTTTGGAGGAGGGTCCCTGTCCCTTCCCGAGGGCCACGTGCCGGCGCAGGACATATTCCAGGATGGCGCGGGCCACTGCCGGCACTGTCTGGTTGCCCCGGAGTGGGAAGTTGGTGGCCTGAAGGTGGCTCTCAAGGCGCTGGAGCAGGGACCCACTGTACGGGGACAGCCGAGCCACCAGTTCCTGCAGGGAGGGGATACCCGGGGACAGCGGGGACAGCTGGGACCACGGGGATTCTGGGAACTCTGAAGATAATGGGGACTTTGGGGGCACTGGAGACCCCAGGGACTGTGGGGTTGGAGGTGACCTTGGGGACACTGGGGTCACTGGTGACTCTGGGAAGCTCGGGGGTTCTGGGGATGCTGGCCACACTGGGAAATCTGGTGACAGTGGAGACCTTGGGAATTCTGGAGACACTAGTGACCCTGGAGATTCTGGGGATTCTGGTGACACTGGTGATTCTGGTGACACTGGTGACCTTGGGGGTGCCGGGGATCCCAGGGACCCTCGACCTACAGGGGATGCCGGAACCCGGGGGGATGCTGGTGACCCCAAAGACCCATGTGAACCCAAGGACACATCTGGTGATGCAGGCGATGCTGGTGACCCTGGGGACCCCAGTGACCCTGGGGACCCTCGGGCTGACGGTGCCACTGCTGGGGACCCCAGGGAGCCCTGAGGGGACCCTGGGGACCCCTCATGGGGGGGCACAGCCAGGACAAGTGCTGTGGAGCAAAGGGGACTGGGGTCACTGACCTGTCCCAAGAGTCCCCACTGGGGACACTCCTGCCCCAGCTCTGTCCAAGTCCCCAGTCCCAACACTGTCCCCATCCCTGGGCCATCCCCCTCCCTGTCCCCATCTCCATGCTCTCCCTATGTGTGTCCCTAACCCTGTCCCCATCCCTGTCCCCATGTTCATGCTATCCCACACTGTCCCCAAACCCATGATTATTCCATCACTGTCCCCCTTCCTGTGCCATCCCTATGCCACTATTGTCCCCAACTCTGTGTCATCCCTGTCCCTGTGCCATTCCTGTCCCTGTGCCATTCCCATCCCTGTCCCCATCACTGTGCCACCCCTGTCCCCATGTCTCTGTCACTGCTGTCTCCATACCCATGCCACCCCCTCCCATGCCACCCCCTTCCTTGTCCCCCTGCCATCCCTGTCTCTATCCCTGTCCCCATCCCCATGGCCATGCCATCGCTATCCCCAACCCCATTCTTGTGCCATCCCATCCTTGTCCCATGCCACTGTCCTCACTGCTGTCCCATCCCCACCCCTGTGCCATCCCTGACCACACGTCTGGGCTGTTCTCATCCCTGTCCCCTTGACTGTGACACCGTGCCATCCCTGTCCCCACCCCGTCCCCATACCACTCTCTGTCCCCACCTTTGTCCCTCCATCCCCACTTCCATCCCTGTCCCCACCATGTCCCCAACCCCGTCTCTGTCCCCCCCACCCTTGTCCCTGCAGTGTCCCAGTTGTCCCAGGTGTCTCCACCCGCATGCAGGCGCAGGACCCCAGGCCCTCCCCATCCTTGTCCCCGTGCCACCCCCATCCCCACCCCCCTGTCCCCACCTGTGCGCAGGCGCAGCACTCCTGCTGCCCCCAGGTGAGGCCCCCGCCGGGCCTGGACCAGCAGCTCGAAGGGGCGGCCTGGGGACAGCCCTGTCACCGAGAAGGCCACAGCAGAGCCAGGCAGCTCATGCGTTGTCATGGCCATGGGGTCATCCTGGGGATGGGGACAGTGTTAGGGGACAAGGCAGACACCTTGGGGGGGATACTGGGGACACGCTAGGGGTCACACTGGGGACATGTGTGGGACATGCAGGGGACACCACGGGGGGGGGACACATTGCAGGGACATTGCGGACATGGGGACACATTGGGGAGGTGTTGGGGACACACTGGGGACACCACGGGGACACACTGAGGTCATGTTGGAGACATGTTGGGGGGATGTCTTGGGCACATGTTTGGAACACACTGGGGACACCAGGAGGGGACACACCGGAGGGACTCATTTGGGATATGTTGGGGACATGCAGGGAACAGCATGGGGGGACACACTGGGGACATCATGGGGACATGTAGGGGACATGTAGGGGAGACATTTGGGCCAGCCCACTGCAGTCACACAGGTGGTGTGGGGGTCTCACCCTTCCAATGTCCCTGTCCCCCTTCCCCACATCCCTGGTCCCCATGTCCGCCTCATGTCCCCTGCCGTGTCCTCCCTGTGTCCCCACTCACCAGGGGAACAAGTGTCACCCGGTAGCCGTCGGGAGGGGGGGAGGGCCGGGGCCAGGTGACACGCAGGGATGTCGAGGTGCGGGTGGCCAACCGTGGTGTCACTGCGGGCACCTCTGCAGGGACAGCATGGGGACACCATGAGGACACCAGGGGGACATCACAGGGACATCTATGGGATGGGGGTGCCCTGGGGACACCCTGGGACACCTTGGGGATACCATGGGGACACCAAAGGGACACCACGGGATGGGGACACCAGGGATGGGGCACTGGAGGGTCCTGGGAGGGGCACGGGGGCACCCTTGGGGACACACTGAGGTGGCACAAGAACCCCCCATGGATGGGAAAAGAAGTGAGGGAGCACTGCGGATACTGGGATGGGGGCACTGGGATGATATTGGGGGGCACTGGGGAGCTCTGGGGGGGCATTGGGACCCACTGATGTTGCAGTGGACCACCCCCCCCGGCCGGGGGAACAGCCGGGGATGTTGGAGTCAGGTCACTGGGGAGCACTGGGGGGCTCTGGGAGCACTGGGGGGGAGCTCTGGGAGCACTGAGGGGGCACTAGGGGCCACTGGGAGCACTGGGGGGGGGGGGCCTGGGAGCACTGGGAGCACTGGGAGGGGGCTCTGGGAGCAGTGGGGGGGTTCTGAGAGCACTGGGAGGGTGGCTTTGGGAGCACTGGGGGGGCTCTGGGAACACGGGGGAGGCTCTGGGAGCACTGTACGGGCTCTGGAGACGCACCGATGTCGCAGCGGACGCCCCCCCAGCCGGGGGCACAGGCGGGGGTGCCGCAGTCGGGGCCGCTGAAGCCCGGGAAGCAGCGGCACCGGCCCCGCTCGCACCGGCCCTGGTCGCTGCAGCCCCGCGGGCACGGGGGGGGCGGGGCGGGGGGCGGGGCCTCGGCCGTGGGGGCGGGGCAGGCGCAGCCTCCCCCGGCGGGGGGGGCACAGAGCTGAACCGACCGGCCTGGGGAACACGGAGGGACACGAGGTCATGACCCCGCGACTCCCCAGCGACCCCCCAGTGACCCTCGGTGATTCCCCCAATGAAGCCTCATGATTCCCAGGACCCCCCAGTTGAGTCCCCCAGTGACCTCCCGTGACACCCCTGTGACCCCCTGTGACTCCCTCAATGATCCCTGTGACCCTCTAAAGACCCCCCTCGGACCTCCCAATGAATCCCCTGTGACCCCTCAAAGACCCCCTGTGACCCTCCCCTGACTTCCCCAATGACCCCCTGTGACCCCCAAATGACCCCCCCGGGACTCCCCAGTGACCCCCCGAGACCCCTCAATGACCCCAGTGTTCCCCCATGTCCCTCCAATGATCCTTCAGTGACGTCCCAGTGATCCCCAATGTCCAAAATGACTCTCGATGGCCCCCCATGTACCCTGTTACCTGTCCCGGCCTGGGGCCCCCCCGTGTCCCCACAGTGTCCCCTCAGTGCCCGCACGTGTCCCTCGAGCTCCCGCAGCCGCGCCAGCACAGCCGCCAGCGCCGCCGCACATGACTCGGGGGGCACCTCGGGAGGGGCCACCGGGGGGGACATCTGAGGGGACACAGGGGGGGTGCCCACCCCCCCCCGCAGCGCCAGCGTCAGAAGCAGCAGCCGCAGCTCCAGGGTCACCGGCATCGTCCTGGGGGGACATAGGGGGACATGGGGTGGGAAACACTGGGGGGGACAACTGGGAGAACCGGGGGGCACCCACGGGGGGAGATGGGGACACACTGGGGACATTGGGGACACTCAGGGAGAAGTGGGGACATGGGGCTACACCCGGGGGGGACAGGGGCATCCGTGGGGACACAGGGACACTCACGGGGGGACATGGGGACACTAGAGGGACACCCAGAGGGACACAGGGGATACGGGTGGTGGGGACACTGTGGGGAAACAAGGGGATATGAGGACACTGGGGTGAAACCTAGGGACATAAGGGGACACCTGGGGAGGACCCACAGGGGACAAAGGGACGCCACAGGGATACCCAGGGGACACCCATGGGGGGACATGACAGGGGGACATGGGGCATGGGGACACTGGAGGACACCTGGGGAACACCCACTGGGACACCACAGGGGAATGGGGGGGCACTGGGGGGACATAGGGGAACACATAGTGGGGACAGGGACATCCATGGGACAGCCATAGGGGCACCCAGGGGACACAGGCAGACATGGGGACACTTGGGGGACACCCGGGGACACCCACAGTGGGGGGGCCATGGACATCGTGGGGTGACACGGGAAACACCCAGGGCACACAGGGACACGGCGAGGGGATGCAGGGGACACTTCTGGGGACACCTAGACATCAGTAAGGGACACAGGGACAGCTGTGGGGACACCCAAGGGACACAGGGACCCCCCCGGGGACATTCACAGGGACACATGGACACCAGAAGGGGACACCCAGGGGACACAGGGGCACCTGGGGGACCATCACAAGGGGACATGGACATCGTGGGGGGGACATCCCTAGGGACACCAAGGGGGACACAGGGACAGCTGTTGGGACATGGGGGACACAGGGACATCTGTGGGGGGACATCCACCTAAGGACATCCAGGGACACCCACAGGGACACAGAAACACACGGACACCTCAACCCACAGTGCCTCCCAGTAACCCCAGTTACTGCCAGTAACCCCCCCAGTGACCCCCAATAACACCAAGTAAACCCCAGTGACCCCTTAGTGACCTCCTAGTAACACCCAGTAACCCCCCAGAAAGCCCAGTCACACCAGTGACACCAGTAACACCAGTAACCCCCAGTCACAACAGCACCTCCAGCCATTGCCAGCAGTCATCCCAGTCACACCAGTGACACCAGTAACAGCAGTAGCTCAAGTAACTAGTAATCCCAGTAATCCCAGTAACACACCCCAGTAACCACAGCAATCTGTTACACGTTCCAGTAATAACAGTAACACCTCCCAGTAACTCCAGTAACACCTCCAGTAAGACCAGTAATACATCCCAGTAACACCTGTGCTTCTGAGCATCAGTAGCAATCCCAGTAACACATCCCAGTAACACCAGTAGCCTCTCCCAGTAACACCAGTTATACATCCCAGTAACATCAGTAACTGCTTCCAGTAATAATACCAGTTGCCCCAGCAAGACCAGTTACCCCATTCACTCCCACTACCCCCAGTCCCCTCGCAATCCCCCCAGTCCTCCACAATCCCCCACTGTGTCCACCAGTGCCCCCAGTCCCCCTGTTGTGTCCACCAGTGCCCCCCAGTCTCCACCAGTGCTCCCCATTCCCCCCCAGTGCCCCCAGTCCCTGCAGTCCTCCACAATCCCCCACTGTGTCCACCAGCCCCCCAGTCCTCCCCAGTGCGCCCCAATCCCCTCCAGTAACTCCCACTGTCCCTCAGAGCCCCCCAAAGCTCCCAGAGACCCCAGTCCCCCGGTCCCTCCCAGTTCCCCCGGTCCCTCCCACTTCCCCCAGTCCCCTCCATGCCACCCCAGTCTTCCCCAGTGCCCTTCAGTGCCCCCTAGTCCCTCCCAGTTCTCCCAGTCCTCCCAATCTCCCCCCAGTGCCCCCCAGATCCCCATTCCTCCTCAGGGCCCCCCAGTGCCCCCCAGTTCCCCTAGTCTCTCCCAGTGTTTCCCAGTGCCCCCAGTCACTCCCAGTAGCTGCCAGCGACCCCCTATGTCCCCTCAGTTTCCCCAGTACCTCCAGTTTCTCCCCATTCCTCCCAGTTCTCCCCAGTCCCTGCCAGTTCCCCCAGTGCCTCCCAGTCGCTCCCAGTTCCCCCAGCCTCTCCCTGTCCCTCCCAGTCCCCCCCAGTCGCTGCCACTCCCTCTCCAGTGCCTCCAGTGCCTCCAGTGCCCCTCACTGCCCCTGATCCCCCCAGTCTCCCCGAGTTCCCCCAGTTGCCTCTCGTCCCTCCAAGTCCCTCGCAGTCCCTTCCAGATCCCCCCAGTCTCTCCCAGTTCCCCCAGTCTCTCCCAGTGCCCCCAGTACCTCCGGCTGATCCCGCTGGGTTCTCGCTCTGGGGCGGGCGGGGTCGCGGGGGGGCGGGGCCGGGGCCACACCTGCCCCGCCCCTCCCGGGGGAGCCGCCCCCGCCCGTGTTTGGGACGTCTCCATGGAAACCAAACAGTTGCTGAGGGGGCTTGTCCTCCCAGTGCTCCCAGTAACCCCAGTAACGTGTCTCAGGCTGACCCACAGCTCCCAGGAACCCCAGTATAGTCAGTCCCAGTGCTCCCAGTAATACCAGTGACACCAATAACAGCACAGCCTAACCCAGTGCTCCCAGTATTGCAGGACAGCCCATCCCAGTTCTCCCAATAACACCAGTAACAAAGCCCAGTCAATCCCAGTGCTCCCAACAGCAGCAGTAACGCCAGTGACACCTGCCTCACAGCCCCCAGTGCTCCCAGTGCTCCCAGTAACTCGGCACATGTCCCCCAGTAACACCAGTATGGCCCATTCCAATGCACCAGTGATGTGGCACAGCCCATCCCCGTGCTCCCAGTAACCCCGGTATAGTCTGTCCCAGTGGTCCCAGAAACATGAGTAAGCCCACTATGGGCTGTCCCAGTGCTCCCAGTAACACCAGTAACCCCAGTGCCACCTGCCCCACAGCTCCCAATGCTCCCAGTCAACCCAGTATAGACTGTCCCAGTGCTCCCAGTAACACCAGTAACCCCAGTGCCACCTGCCCCACAGCTCCCAATGCTCCCAGTCAACCCAGTATAGTCTGTCCCAGTGCTCCCAGTGACACAAGCAATGTGGCACAGCCCATCCCAGCCCTCCCAGTAACACCAGTATGGCCCATCCCACTGACACCAGTAACCTCAGTGACACCAGTAACACTGGACAGCCATCTCAGTGCTCCCAGCAACCCCAGTATAGTCTGTCCCAGTGCTCTCAGAAACACCAGCAATCCCAGTATAGCCAGGCCTAGTCCTCCCAGTAAAGCCAGTAAAGTTTGTCTCAGTGCTCCCAGTAACTCAGGTAACGTAGCACAGCCCACCCCAGTGCTCCCAGTGACCCCAATATAGTCTGTCCCAGTGCTCCCAGTAACACCAATAATGCGGCACAGCCTGACCCATGGCCCCCAGTAACACCAGTGACATGGGACAGCCCATCCCAGTGCTCCCAGTAACCCCAGTATAGTCTGTCCCAATGCTCCCAGAAACAGCACTAACCCCTGTACAGCCTGGCCAAGTGCTCCCAATAACCCCAGTGCCACCTGCCCTATGGCTTCCAGTGCTCCCAGTCATCCCAGCGCTCCCAGTGACACCAGTAACATGGCACAGCCCATGCCAGTCCTCCCAGTAACACCAGTATGGCCCATCCCAGTGCTCCCAGTAACACAGCACAGGTTCCCCCAGTGCTCCCAGTGCCCCGGCACGGCCCCTCCCAGTGCTCCCAGTGCCCCCAGTCCGGGCGTGGCCGTGACTCACCACCCCAGCAGCAACAACAACAGCGGGGAGGGTGCGGGGGGGGGAGGGGGCAGGGCAGCGCTGGGGGAGCCCCTCGCGGCCCCCCCGTGTCCTCCCCCGCATCCCCTCCCATGTCCTTCCCGTGTCCCCCTGTGTCTCCCACCTTCCCTCCCCCCGTGTCCGCCCCGTTTTCCTCTCCGTGCGTCCCTCCCGTGTCTCCTCTTTCCCCCCCGTGACCCCTCTGTGTCCCCCCACCGTGTCCTCCCCATGTCCCCCCCTCCCCCCCACCCCGTGACCCCCCGCCTCCGCCAAGGAATTTTCTCCATCAACACGATGAGCTCATGGGGGGGGAGGGAGGGGGGGAAGGGCGGGGGGGGCTAGCTGGCGATGGGGGAGGGAGGGGGAGGGGCCCCACTGTGGGGGGAGGAACGGGGGTCCCGGCTCCGCCCCCCTCCAGCCGCGTTTATTGATTGATCCATCGATTTATTGATTTGGTGATTTATTGACTGATTTCACACTTGGTCACTGTCACAGGCCTGGCCCCGCAGTCCCCTGCCCCACCCCGGGGTCCCCATGTCTGTGTCACCAGTGCCCCCATCCCTGTCCCCAGTGTCCCCAACCCATCTCTTGTGTCCCCAGCCAGCCCCTGGTGTCCCCAGTGTCCCCATCCCACCTCAATGTCACCATCCCTGTCCCTGGTGGCCCCATCTCTGTCCCCTGTGTCCCCATCCCTAATCCCACTGTCCCTATGCCACCTCAGTGTCCCAAACCTATCTGCAGTATCTCCCTCCCTGTCCCCCATGTCCCCATCCTTGTCCCTGATGTCCCCATCCCCAGTGTCACCACCCCCAGTGTCCTCAGCCCAGGTCCTGGTGTCCCCATCCCTAATCTGTGTCCTTGTTCCACCTCAGTGTCCCCCACCCCTACTGTCCCCAGTGTCCCCCTCCCCATCCCCAGTGTCCTCAGTGTCCCCTCCCCATTCCCAGGTGTCCCCGCTGTCCCCTACTGTCTCCCAGGGGAGTGTCCCCAGCTCCCCAGGGCTGCCCAGCTCCCGCAGCCGCCCCCCCTCCAGCAGGGCCACCCTGGGTGCCTGCCGGGCCAGAGCCACCTGCCCTGTCACCAGCAGCACCGCTGGCCCCTCCCCGGCCCCGAGGCCATCAGGACCCAGCAGCTCTTGCTCCACCTGTGGGGACACGGAGGGGTCAGGGGACGGGGACACGGGGGACACGGG